CTGTGACATTCGTGATTACAATATAGCACCCTAAACTGAGACTCCTATCTTCATTCTTTGTGGTTAATAAATGGATTTTTTTTAGATTTGCTGTATTTTTTTTTAACTTAGTTTCCCCAATAATAGTACTCATTTCCAAATTGGAGTAATTTGTCATACCTTTAAGAGCAGTGAATTCAAGTACTTGAATGCAATAAACTGAGTCGTAAGAAAACAGAAACAGAAAAAAAGTTTACTACTAATGTCTATCATGTCTGAGCGATTTAAAACCTCTTCATAATATTACTTACAGCCTAAATTGGGTTTGTATCAAGTGATAAAATCCTTGTAATGTATATTTCAATATTAAACTTTTTGAGTCATTGAGTTACAATATCCTGATCCAAGATACCATTATTTGAGCATTAATTATGGTTTCCGCTGTCAATTCAGAAACACTTAACATGCAAATATTATAGCTATTTTCAGCAGGAAATACCTTTGAGTGTATCATGAATGAAATTTGAGAAATAAAATATATTTGGGGATTTCATTTGGATAGGTTTTTGTAAGTTTTTTGTGCTCCGCAGATGGAAAAATGATAAACAGAATATATCAACAAGCAGTAACAAGAAATCTCAGAGACCAGTTTGTCCTCCTAAGTGCTCATTCAGCGTCTCCTTCTGGCAAAAGCTTGAGCAAATAGTGCTTTTCATTATGTTCTAAATTCTGTCAAACTCATACTATGTGAAGTAGAACAAGTGCATTCCTGAACTGAGAAATTTATATTGAAGGCAACCTTGCCTTTGGTCAAATCCAGTCTTTCCCATTCATAATATTTGTCTTCTTGTCCCTACAACTCATGAGGCCAAAAAGTTTTACCATTCCATTTCTACAAGCTTGATTTCAATTTCCAACTAGAAACCTAATTTCTAACCTAAACAGTTCCTATAATTTATTAATGCAGTTCCAACTACATGTCAATACGGGGGACAAGTTAGCATCAAGAAAATAAAAATGTTGACGTCATGGCTGGGCTGTAACGGTGCTCATGTGATGCCTGGAGACAGACACATCACGAGCACATGAAGGTTTTCTGCATAGTCATTATCATCTGGGATTTTATGATGTATTTGCATGGTTGTTTGCTCAAAGTCTCTCCTTCCCACTGGTCTCTAGGAGGCCAGGTCCAGGCTTGCTTACTGCTGATAACCTGTGCCAAGCACTGCGTCTGGTAGAGTGTTCTCTCAAAATA